GTAGCTCTCTAAGACTATGCCCAGATGGCTATAGTTTAACCTTCCCACATTGAAAAAAGCAGATGGCTTATCTGAAACTGGGATCCAATAAACCCCAATTAAGTTTCTACATTTTTTTTTAAGTGGGCTGTGGTAGACACCATTGTTTTGGAGTTTTGGTCCATGGAGATTAGCCTTAAGTAGGAATACTTCATCTCAGATCAGAACTCTCCCTGGAATATCCCATTCCAACCATAATTGTCCATGTTGTAGAATGACGCTTCATGTGTATTCTTTTTGTTTATTTTCCATTCTGTGCCCTGGATTTCTTGTGTTTGGGAGGGGAGTACACATTTGGGTGTACTTTCAGATATAAATTATCATTATGGAAGAATAAATTGCAGTAAGTATCAGATACATCTCAAAGGTATTCAAATGTACATAAACTTCATTTGTGACAGATCATTGGAAGGACAGACAATTGAATGCTCAATTGAGCAAAATAGGAACAAGAATAGAATGAACAAGGGGCATTTGTCAAATTATATTTTAACCAAAATCTGAAAATAGGTACTGCAGTGGATTTGCTAACCCTTATGGGACAATACAGGGTTACATTAATATTACTAGATACTGATGTACATTTAGTGATACACCATTGCTAAAGTAAACCAAGAAAGAGTAACTTTGGGCATGACTAAGTCTGAGGCCAGCAGCACCTTTAAGACCAACAAAGTTTTACTCAAGGTATGAGCTTTCGTGTGCATGCACATTTTGTCAGATACGTTGAAATGGAAGTTAATAGTTAATAGGCAGACACTGCACAGCAAATTAGTGTACAGCATAATGAAGATGTTTTAACAGATGCAAAGGCCAAACAAGAATAACAAGCTAACTTTATATCTGTCACCATTTGTTTGGATTTAATTACAGGGAAACACACAGTAGAGCAAATAAATATGTCAAAATAGGAGACCAATGTGTAAATGTATCCTTCTTAATTGTGGAATGCTAAGAGAAATTAACGGAAATCCTGTTGTTACGCTCCATTCGTTTCCTCTCAAGCATGGAGGTAACTAACAGCATCCTTTTCTTTGTGGTGGGGTGAATGGTTGTGCAGTGTTATGTCTCCTCTGTCACCAGATCAGAGAAATACATTCCAATATTCATAGCATTACATTACCATCACTATTCCAATCTAGGCCCCGGTCACATGGGCAGGAAACTGCGGGGGGGGGAGCGTGGCTGTTTGCCCCGGGGCAAACTAACGCGCGGTAAAGTGATCAGACCTCCCGTTGAGGTACCGTGGAGGTATCGTGGAGGTTCCGTGGGAAGGGAGAGGTGCCGATCGCAGGACAATCCTGCGCGCAAAAAAGAAGTGCGCCATGCGGCAAACTGGTTTTTTTGTGTGTGTACACCACGACTGCGCATGCTCCGTTGGGTGCTTGTGCGCATCCACGGAGACTTGGGGAAAAAAAACACCTTTTTTGCAAGGGGACATGGGCGGGCGCCGGATGCCTCCGGAAACGCGATCAGACGCCTGCCCTTGCCCCGCAGTTTCCGGAAACTAGTACCTCCGAGGTACTAGTTTTTTGCTGCGTGTTTTCGGCGGGAAGCCTCGGTTGAGCCACAGAAGTGCTATGCTTCCCAGATGTGCCGGTGAGATCGCGCCCGGAAACTCCGCCTGTCTTCCGTCGCTCTAGCGTGGCTAATGCTCCGTGTGACCGCAGCCCTTCTGTTCCAAATAAGAAATACACTAAAATAAAGAGGATGTATAGCCCTTCTTGGTGAGAATACATATGTAAGGACTGAATGAGTTTAGCATATGTAGTAAGACAAGAAACCAATATCCCTGTTAAGTCCTGGGGGGTGTCCTAAGTGTTGTAATTCAGCAATTTTTCTTTCAGTTCTGTTCCTGAAGTTCCTTTGCAATAAAACAGCTACTTTGAGATCTCCCATTGAATATCCTGGAAAACTGAAGTGTTCTCCTGTAGGTTTCACAGTCTTGTGATTCTTGGTGTCAGATTTGTTAGCCGAATTGCTTTATTTACAGCAATTGACAATTTATAAATGGGTTCTTGCCAATTTATACCAAGGTCCTGATCCCACCAAGGGTTATCAGTAAAGGATTCAAGGCTGTTGTAGTTAAAATAGATGTCTTTTACTTAAAATATATCTCATACAAACAATACTGATGCACGCATACATTCAATCAAGTCCTAAGAGTTACAGTATGAAATAAGCACAGTTGCATTAGCAGGTAGGGGTGATGACGGGCGATACTTATCTGTCCTGAAGCTTGGTTGTTCCAATGAAGAATGGGTGGGAAGAAATGGAAACAAAGGGAATCCACACATGACCACAACCAGCCGGAACGCATGGGCAGTAGAGGCAAGGGTTGGGGATAGCAAGTGGGACTCAAGAGAGGTAAAAGCAGACAGGGGTCGTCTTGGGGGGAGTGCTAGCTAGGAGGAGTCAGGTAACTGGTTCTCTCCTTTTATAGGGGGTCCAAGAGGTGGGTGGTAACTGTTCCAACCTCTTGACCCACCTACCTGTTAGTCCCAAAAACAATCCTATTGGTTGCAGGTAGGGAAGGAGGTTACCTAGGAGGGATGGCCAATATTGTAACCTAAAACCTTACTTGAAGTATGGCATCTGGACAGGTGTGGAATCCAGGCATCAGGATGCTTCATTGTAGTGCTGTTGAAGTTGGCCAGTTCCATTGATAACCAAATGTCCATCTGGCAGGAAATGCCAGCTCAGGAACAAAGCAGTTGATTGGTGGTACATGACCACAAGCAGCTTTGCCATGGGGGCTGTTTCTTCCTAGAGTTGTTGTTTCATTGCTCGCAATAATGGAGATTTGTGCTGGGCAACTGTGTTGCTGAAACCTTATTTACATGTAAGGTATGTTCAGGCACCCTCTATGTGTGTCATCACAACAGGTGACCTAAAGTGTACAGTTCTCTGAGCCCATGTGTATATGCACAGTCCATTGTGTAGCAATAAGCAGTCCATAAAACAAATATCAGGCTTGTTCCCTAACAGTTTTGTATCCATTTATCCTTTGGCATAGGAATAGGTAGCATGTGAGGCAATGGGGCATTCCCAAATATCTAACCACGGATAGGAGAACAGAATGCTTTAACTGTATCAGGTTGAAAAGATTTGTTTGACAATGATTCCAACTGAATGTATATATGTATAGCTAAAAAATTATACTAAAGGTCCTTGCTTGTAGTAAACAGGTAAAACTGTACAGGAATTGTATTTATTAATTCCATCTTATGTGGCTTTAAACCATACATAATACCAGACTTTGCACTTTTTCTACCACTTAATCTCCTAGGTATGAACAAAAATTATTGAATGATTGCCCCTGGCCTGAGAAACGTCCACTTAGACTCAACCAGGGCCAGGGCTTTTTCCGCTCTGCCTCCGGCATGGTGGACTCAGTTCCCACTGGAGATCAGGGCCCTGTGGGACCTTTTATTGTTCCTCAGGACCTACAAAATGGAGCTATTCCACCAAGCCTTTGGTGGGCATCCATCACAGTTGGCCTCCTTGCTCCTAATCTGGCTCCCAATCTGCTAAAAGTGCCCACTGATTACACCTGTGGCTCTAACAGATATGAAATTCTTGCTACCTGTATGAATGTTTATTGTTGTTTTAACTGTTTTAATGTGATTTTATTGTAATGAGTCTTGGACTCGGCTTTTGTTATCTGTTCTGAGCCCGCTTCATGGAGGGCGGAATAAAAATCTCATAAATAAATAAACAAACAAGCCATGATCTTCACACATACATCAATATAAATTAGCTCCTGAATTGTCATGTGAAACTTGTTGGAATCATTAGACCTTTTTTCCACTTGGAGTCTATCTCTCATTTTAGTAATTGTAAAAAGGGAGGGGGTTTGAAACACTACAGAGTAATTGATTCCTCCTTAGACAGTATAAGTGACACAGGTTAGGTGGGGAACCCCATCAAAATATTTTTGCATTTAGTTATGACCTCATTGTTTTAAGAGAGTTAATATTTATTTGTCCTGACTGTCCTGGCCTGGTGTTGTCATATCTTGCAAGCTAAGCCGGGTCAGTCCTGGTTAGTATATATATGGAAGACCTTCCACAGAAGTTCAGGGTTGCTACACAGAGGCAGGCAATGGCAAACTACCCCTGATTGTATCTTGCCTTGAAAACCCGACACGCTCACCTTAAATTGGCTGAGACTTTATGGCACTTTACCTGCACAATATTTATTTATTAATATATTTATATCCCAGTTTTTCTTGTGGCTCAAAGCACCAGTTTGGTGTAGTGGTTAAGTGTGCCGACTCTAATCTGGGAGAACCGGGTTTGATTCCCTACTCCTCCACTTGCAGCTGCTGGATGACCTTGGGCAAGCCATAGTTCTGACAAGAGCTGTCCTTGAAAGGGCAGTTCTCAAAAGAGCTCTCTCAGCCCCACCTACCTCACAGGGTGTCTGTTGTGGGGAGGGGGAGGGAAAGGAGTTTGTAAGCCACTCTGAGTCTCCGAGTGAAGGGCGGGGTATAAATCCAATCTCCTCCTCCTCCTCCTCCTCCTCCTCCTCCTCCTTCTACCAGAATTTAAAATATCAAATAAAACCCCAAATTACATTGCTAAACAAAAATCTGCAGTCACATGCATGGCCAGTTTCTCAGTCCAGAGTATGAAGCTGGGCTATACAATTTTACATTTAACGTTTGTAGGAGGGGGCTCTTTATAAAAAGACAGCACAGATCTTACTAGTTATATTATCTCTTTAACTGAAGTTATACTTCTGAAACATACAGAAATGGATTTTGCAGGCCATTAGCTGCAAAGCTACTAAAGGGCAAAATGTGTCTCCCCATCCCTTCCTCTAGTGCCGTTAAAGAAAGTGGGGTTAAGTGGAATTCAACTTGACATCTTGTCCCATTTCATTCAGCCAAATAAGCACGTCATTCAACTGTTACTAAGTTGGTGCATTTTCTTTTTTCTTATTTCCTGGCCTCCTAGAGAAGTGGGATCAGCATGTGATCTATGCGTGGAAGGCCGAATCCTAGCGCAGTATGCTTTCAGCGCCTCCTCACCAATGCCATGTGACCCATCAGGGCACTGGAGCCCTCGAGAAGCAGAAGGTGAGCCTTGCTCTGGGGGGGGGGGGAACCAGAAGGAATGAGAGTAGAGATGGGAGGAAAGAAAGAGCAAAGCAAGAGGCTGAGGAAAAGTTAACAGATGAATTATTATACTCACTGCAGAGTTCAGGTGTTAGCCAAATTGCAAAAGGGAAGGGAATGATATGCAGTCCCAGTGTGAAGACTAGCATACATGCTTCTTCTGTGCTGCTCAGAGATGTCTCCCCTATTTTGAACCCCTGAGGAGCTGAGCCAGCACTGCCAGGACAAAAGCCATGTTTTGATCTGCCTGATCAATATGATTTGCATTGTAAATGGAAAAGGGGGAGGAATGGCAGAATCTGTGCCTAGATCCTGGAAAGGGGGGTGGGGAGAGACAATCAATAAGATTTGCTTTGTGAATCAGAAGAGGGCTGAACAGAAGGCACCAGTTTACTGCAGGCCAACAGGACGCTGCTTTTAAGAGCTGGCATAGTGTAGTGGTTAACAGTGGTGGACTCTAAACTGGAGAACTGGGTTTGATAAGATTCCCCACTCCTTCTTCATGTGAAACCTGCTGGGTGACCTCAGGCCAATCACAGTTCCCTCAGAACTCTTTCAGCCCAACCTATCTCACAGGGTGCCTGGCTGTGGGGAGAGGAAGGGAAGATTTCATTCATTCATTCATTCATTTCAATTTATATCCCACCCTCCCCACAAGTGGGCTGAGGGTGGGACACAACAGTTTGACTAACAATACAATAATAAATACAGTACACACAGAATTAAAATTTTTAGATCGACAGCATCACAGGGTCTATTTTTTGCATCTACCAGCTCCTCCCCCACAATTGCAGGGCATATATAACTAACTAATAGGACCCATGCAGCAGATGCCAAGACAGTTTTTTTAAAAGAGGGCAATTCGTACAAGGACAGTTCACCTGGGCAACTCACCCAGGCAGTGTGAGCAGGGGAGACCAAGGTCTTCAGGTGTCCACCATCTCAACCAAAGGCCTGGCAGAACAGCTCCATTTTACAGGCCCTGAGGAATTGCATTAAATCCCACACAGCCCTGATCTCAAGTGGGAGCATGTTCCATCAGGCTGGGGCCAGGACAGAAAATGCCCTGGCCCTGGTCGAGGCTGACATATTTTGGGCTGGAGACTACCAGCAGATGTTGCTCAGCAGAGCACAGAGCTCTTTGGGGCACATAGGGGGAGATGATTGTAAACTGTTTTGAGACGCCTTAGGGTAGAGGAAAACGGAGTATAAACCAATTCTGCTTCTTTACTGAACATCATGAAACCTCATAACTGTATCCTAAATATATGTGGGGCTGTTTCTCAGGCAGCATGGAAAACAGTGAGGGTAGTAGCATGAACTGTTCATGCTTCCTCTCCCAGGGTTTCTGGGGCTCATGAATTAATTGTGGAAATATTCCCTGTGGGGAAATGTTGCTCCGTCTGTGCATTTGGAGGATGGATGTACCTCACTATGGAGGATAAATTTATTTGTGTTTTAAACAGTTTCATCCCATTGTACTGCATGGTATTAGTTTGCGCCAAATTCTAACTTCATTAGGACTTACCACCACTTCTAACACCCTATTTAGTAGTTTTGATCCACCACTAGAAGTCAGCTTCCATCAGAGAGGGAGAGAACTATACACGAGGATGCATTTCCTGGAGCAGAGAGTCTTGTTCACTTTCTCATCGCTGTAAAGGCCAAATTAACACCTCCATAGAGGGAGGAGAAGGAGTTCTGCCTTTCCCCAAGCTATTTTTCCATGATGAACCAGCACTTGGGGGTAGTTAATTTTCCTGGTTTGGCCATTCCATGTGCACAGAATGCTCCACATGCAAAAACAGGGAAATAACTCCCAACCCCCGCATGCTGTTTCAACATGGGGAAGAAGATGGGGTAGGAAGACAGCAGCCCTCCTTCTCCCCACAGTGGCATTCTGAGTCCAATTGGGCTCTCATTTATTTTTAACAGCCATTCCCTGCAGCTGCTGCACAAGGCAAAACAGTAAAACCATAAAATATAGGGCAGGCAAAAGATCAGCAAATTTGGCTCCAAGCAAATCATTGCAGAGAAGTTCCAAAGACATGTTGCTAAAGTAGAGAAGACCCTGTTTCTGGTGGCCATCTCCCTTGTTTCTGGACTGGGCCCCTGAAGGGGCTGCTTATACAGGAGCAGGTCATTTAGATACCAAGGTGCCCCAGACACCTGCATGCCAAACAACTTAAATTGTGTCGAATAGCTAATAGCTAGCCATTGGATTTCTTTCAAAATTGGTAATATATGTTCCCTGTACCCCATGCCAACAAGCAGTGTTGCTGCTATGTCTTGGGCCAAATGAAGTTCCCAAACTGTCTTCAACCCTACTCAGAGCACATAGCAGTCATCCTGCCCCTTTAGTAGATGAGAAATTCCATCTAGAGCAGGCTTTATCCCCACTCTCTGAAGATCTGTCAAATTGACCAACAGAGCCTCAGTCTTTTGTAGACTGGACTTCAGTTTATTGGCCCTCATTCATCCAGTACCTCCATCAGACCTCTGTTCAAAATGTCCTCTGCCACCTGATTCTACCAGAAAAGATAAATAGAGTTGTGTTGTCAGCATACTGATGACACTTGACTCTAGATCTCCTGTTGATCTCTCCTGGTGGTTTCATCTAGATGTGAAACTGCATGTGGAATAAGACACAACCTGTGGGACTTCACAGAACAAGCACCAAGGTATCAAGCAACAGTCCCGCAGCACCCCCTCTTGGAACCAATCAGCCAGGCAGGAATAAACCCACCAGAGCATTGTGCATCCAGTATCAGATATACCACAATGCCATGGTCAGACTTAACACACTGTCTAAAAGCTCCAGAAGAATTGATCAGGTCATACCCCTTTCTGTTTCCTTCCTGACAAGGACCCATATAACCAGCACAATTCAGTTAAATCTCTAGGGTCCATTCATAAAACATTTATAAACCAATCTGCACTCATATCAGTCTTATCTGAGGCCCTTTGGTTGAACTATGTATAAATGGGCCTAAATAATTGGCATCGTCCAAGACAGCCCAGAAGCAATATCTGCTACCATTCTCTATCCATTCACATAATTTTGATCTGTGGATGCCTTCTTCGGAAGGGGCCTTCTTCAAGATAGATCGAATCTAATCCTTACTCAAAGAAGCATTCACTGCTCCCTGAGCCCAGCTGTGTAATCCCCTCCAGCCAGATATAACCAACCAAGTTGGGCAAGGGTGAAGCAGCACAGAGGTGGTGGGCCACACTCTTCTGAGCAACTTGTCAACTTCCTAAGGAAGCAGCATCCTGAAAATCCTCCAAGCAACTTTGACTTGATTGAGTTCTGAGACTGATCTGTAGAAATAATGGTATCCAGGGCAGAGCAGATGCAAGTCCAGGGTTGTTATGCAGAGGCAGGCAATGTCAAACCTCTGTTCATGTCTTGCCTTGCAACCCCGTGGGGTCTCCATAAGTCAACTGTGTCTTGAGACAGCACTTTCTATCACCAAACTAGTTGTGATCCCCATTTCCCATGGCAATGAATTCCATACATTACTTTTTCATACAAGAAACACAATTATTTCCCTTAGAGAACCAAAGTGAACAGTCAATGTTGTTTACTGAAAAGCTTTTACCCTGCCTTTCTTCCAATAAGGATTCAAAGTCATACAGTACTTAGTGTTGGATCAGGACTGGACAAACCTGAATTCAGATCCCCACTCTGCCATGAAGCTCTCTGGGTGACATTTAGGGCAGTCAGACATGCTCAGTTTAGGCAGCATCACAAGTCTTGTAAGGTCGAGCTTCTTGGAGGAAGAGAGGAATAAAGATATAATGGAAAACAATGGATGGATGTTGTCTCTTTAACCTGCTGCTCATCAGTTTCATCAGATGATCCCAAGTTCAAGTATTAAGAAAGAATTAGGGTGTTTTTTTCTTTTTCTCCATACCACACATAATTTGATAAATCCTATCCTGTCCACGCTTAGGGTTTTGGGTTTGTTACGTTGTTGTTGTTGTTATTTGGTAAAATGAATAAACCCAGAATGTATAGTAATTTCTTGTAGGGAAGATACTCCAACCTTTTGGTTGTCCTTTTCTGCAAAAAACCCCCCCCCCCATCTCTGCAATATCCTTTTCCAAGGTGGCATGACCAGAACAATCTCATAAGACCCAAGCCAAATCTGAAAATCACTTACAGCCAGGTCAAATAAAGCAAGGTCAGTAGAGCTAGGGTCACATCAGAAGCACAAGAAGGAGAACATTCCCTCTGTTCTGCAACAGGGAGAGGCTCTCTCTGCCAAAAGTTCCCACAAGCCACAAGATTTCCAAGTTCTGCTGTTAACAGAGATGTGGCAAGCTCATGCACAAGTGGGAATCATTGATGAATTACACTGTAATATTTGTAACTCACAAACACTGTTTGCATACGTGTGATTGGGCACCATGAGTATGCAGGCTTCTTCGGTGTAACCTATGATGTACCACCATAAAACATTGGCTGCTTATCATCTCACTTCCAATTTCAAGAATGCTGTGGTGTCAGCTGAGAATCTCTGGTTAGGACTAGTCAGGTGGGCTACTGTGGTCTCTGAGCTCTAAAGATTTTCTTCACCCATAAAAGGGCATAGGTGCATCCTGCATCTGGCAGGCAGCATGAAGCCTTTGGATTGGCCAGTTATGATATACATATCAGGAGCTTGACCTTCTGTTGTTCCCTCCTTGCAGAAGAGTATCTTCTGCCAGATATATTTGGGGATCCAGCTGAAGATGTTCCTTACTCTCTCAGTTCCAGCAATCAGTCTTAAGGGTCTTGGATTTGTAAATACATCATCCAGGTCTAGATTTCGTTATTTGGTACCCCTGTCCTGCCTGCCCTGAACTTGGCATAGGGTTGTGTTATCATGCAGCAACTCACATGTGAAGCCTTATACTGAACTTGACCATTGTTTTATTAAGGTCAGTATTGTCTACTCAGACTAGCAGCAGCTCAC